GAGCCAACTGGTGACTTTGGAACAACACCCTTCCCCGCCTCCAGCCCCCTGACAATCCACTCCACATGCTACACCAGTATGTCCAAAGGACCAGAACTGGGCCTCCCCTGTAAAAAGCCTTCATCAGCATCCCAAACGGGGCTGACAGAGTTCAACGGGAGTTTAATGTCAGGCTGGACCCAGTCCTGACAAAGACACTGCCCCATAAAGAAGATACAAACTGAGGCTGGATCAGGGAGACCAGAAAATGAATCGGGGGGGGAGGACTGGTTTATTATTATTTTTTAAGATTTTATTTATCTGAGAGAGAGAGAGAGGGAGGGAAAACATGATGGGGGGAGGGGTAGAGGGAGAGGAAGAAGCAGACTGCTTACAGAGCAGGGAGCTGGATGTGGGGCTTGATCCCAGGACCCTGAGATCATGACCTGAGCCGAAGGCAGATGCTTAACGACTGAGCCACCCAGGTGCCCCGAGAGGACTGTTTTATAACCACCTGGGGCGGGGGGGCGGTGTGGAAGGCGGCGGGGTGGGGTGAACAAAAGCGGCCTATTTCCACAAGCTTCATTTAATTTATATGTAGCCTTCCCCCCTCAGTAATTGAATGTATTATTCATTTTGGCCTGCAACTGCTGCATGTGGCTTTCGGACCAACAATAATAGGCTTTTAAGGTTCAGTGCCATAGCATTTGGAGACTGGAGGAAAAATTAGCAGATAAATTATTAAACATGAAGTGGACGCCACATTCCCGTCCCTCCTGCAGTGGCTTGAAGTGCAGGGTGAGGCAGACGGAGTCCAGGGCACGGACACCGAGGGCATCAACCACCCACCCAGCATGTACCAGGCTGTTCTGACACTGTTTATCTCCAGGTGTGGACCAAGGCCATCACAGGGCAGCACAACAGAGCAAAAGCCACCCAGGGCTCTTGTCAAATAGTTTTGGAGCAGCAAATCTTTGATGATGGGGGTGCCTTTATTTAGCTTAAGAATTTTTGTTTTGCCTTTTTTTTTTTTTAAATAGCATGAAGCCCCATCTGGGGTCCAGTCATAATAAGCTTGCCTGGGATCTACAATATTTTAGATCACGGTCCTTAGTTTCTAAGTTGGGAGAAGAAAGATCTAGGCTTCTAGAGCCTCTACTTATAGTTCATAGCTTTGATATCAGCAGCTATCCGTTCCTAATGTTTTAAGTTATGCAAAACTCGAGATTTCCCATGTTAAGTCTACTATTCCTGAACTTTTTAAGAGGGAACCAGTTTATAATAAGATTTTAAGTTTCTTACATCAACCTAAGCTAATTAATCAATCCAAACTAATCTTCATTTTGCATAGCATCAGGGTTTTGGTGGTGGCTGTTCATTTTTGTTTTACCTTGTTTCTTGCTAACCCATCATGCTTACCAAAGCAGGCACTAGGAGAAAGTTCCACATTTACCAACACACAACAAGGACAGGTAGGGAGAGTGGATAAGCAACACACATACAGTAAGAAAACACACAGATCAGAAGTATAATGATGATCACGAGAGGATGGTACAGAACATGATAGACTGGGGAAGTGCATTCAGTTAGAGTGGTGCTTCTAGCTAGACTGGACAGCAGAAGCTATCCTCACCAGGGGAGGCTTGATTTTCATCGCCTGCTCGGTAATTAAAAACAAAAACAAAAACAAAACCAAGCAGCCGGGGGAAGATCATTTTAGAAAGAGGGAATGGCAAGTACAAAGACTCTGAATTAGAATACACCTTCTTATATTCAAAGAACAGAAGCTAGCCAGTGTGGTTTAAGTACGGCGTGAGATGACAACAAAAGGCAGGCAGGCACCAGATCGCCTGAAGACTCACAGGCAAGGTGTTTGATGTAATTCCACATGTGGTGGGAAGCTACTGGAGTCCACAGGTGTCAAAAGCAAAACTCAACAGACTTTGAAAAGGCTCGTGGGTAGCAATCACGTTTGAAGGCCTTGGTGCCCAGAGCTGCCCCAGGTGAGCGAAGATACAGATCAATGTGCCAGAACTGCCATGCCAAGGACCACTCTCCAACCAACCCAAAGAACCCACCCAGGGCAACGGCGGCCGGTGGCGGATGGCCAACCCTGGCGTTATAAACTGTGAGGTCAGGTGGGAGATGGGAGTGGAAGGCAGACCATCACTGAAATCATCGGCCCACCTCGTTCGGTGCCACAGAAACCAACTGTGTGCCCTGCAGATGCTCTATCACAGCGGTGAAGGGCCCGGCCTTGAGTCCGACAGAGCAGGGGCTGAGGGCTGGCTACTGAGCCCCTCCCCGCCGCAGTTCTCACCTGGGAAGGGAGGCACCAACCACAGGACCGCCTCACGTGGCTGTTGGGAGGATGAAATGAGACAGTATGTGCAAAGGGCTCGTCACACACAAATGCTCCAGCCACAGTGCCTGGATCTCTGCTGGACGGCTACCTTGCTGCCAAGGCTCTGCACGCCAGCCCTTGACACAGACCGTCCCAGGAGCTGACAAGCACATCCTGTAGGAAACACCTGCCTGAGGGCTTTCTCTTGGCTCAAGTGCGGAGCAGGAGAGGGAGCCGGGGAGGTGATGATCTAGAAACAGCCCTCAGTCAACGACAGATGGAATAGAGTCAATAACCCGAGTTCGATCAGTAGCGGGAGTGGAGAGCGGACCCCAGAGAGCCCTGAGCAGTCCCACCGCCGCCGCCGGCCCCAGTCACCATCACCGCAACCATGAGCAGTGAGGCCAAGACCCAGCAGCCGCCCGCCCCCCCCCCGCCCCCAGCACTGCCCACACCAAGCCGGGCAGCAGGGGCAGCGGCGCAGGCAGCGGTGGCCCAGGCAGCCTCACATTGGCGGCGCCTGCCGGCGGGGACAAAAAGGTCATTGCAACGAAGGTTTTGGGAACAGTAAAATGGTTCAATGTAGGAAACGGATCTGGTTTCATCAACAGGAATGACACCATGGAAGATGTATTTGTGCGCCAGACTGCCATAAAGAAGGATAACCCCAGGAAGTACCTTCGCAGTGTAGGAGATGGAGAGACTGTGGAGTCCGACGTGGCTGAAAAGGAGAAAAGGGTGCGGAGGCAGCAAATGGGACAGGCCCTGGTGGAGTTCCAGTGCAAGGCAGTAAATACGCAGCAGACGTAACCAGTATAGACGCTATCCACGTCACTGGGGTCCTCCACGCAATTCCCAGCAGAATTACCAGAACAGTGAGAGTGCGGAAAAGAATGAGGGATCGGAAAGTGCTACCGAAGGCCGGGCCCAACAGCGCCGGCCCTACCGCAGGTGACGCTTCCCACCTTACTACATGCGGAGACCCTATGGGCGTCGACCACCGTATTCCAACCCTCCTGTGCAGGGAAAGTGATGGAAGGTGCTGACAACCAGGGTGCAGGAGAGCAAGGTAGACCAGTGAGACAGAATATGTACCAGGGTTAGAGACCGCGATTCCGCAGGGGTCCTCCTCGCCAAAGACAGCCTCTGGATGGCAATGAGGAAGATAAGGAAAATCAAGGAGATGAGACCCAAGGTCAGCAGCCACCTCAACGTCGGTACTGCCGCAACTTCACTTACCGACGCAGACGCCCAGAAAACCCTAAACCACAAGATGGCAAAGAGACAAAAGCAGCGGATCCACCAGCTGAGAATTCGTCCGCTCCCGAGGCTGAGCAGGGCAGGGCTGACTAAATGCCGCTTTACCACCTCTACCATCATCCGGTTTAGTCATCCACCGCGAAGAAATGAAGATGAAATTCCAGCAATAAGAAATGAACAGAAGACTGGAGCTGAAGACCTTAAGTGCTTGCTTTTTGCCCATTGACCAGATAAAAAGAACTATCTGCATTATCTATGCAGCATGGGGTTTTATTTTTTACCTAAAGATGTCTCTTTTTGGTAATGACAAACGTGTTTAAAAAAAAAAAACAAACCTGGTTTTTCTCAATACACCTTTAAAGGTTTTTAAATTGTTTCATATCTGGTCAAGCTGAGATTTTTAAGAACCTCATTTTTAATTTGTAATAAAAGTTTACAACTTGATTTTTTTTTAAAAAATCAACAAACGGCAAGCACCCATTAATAAAGGTCTTAAAAAAAATAAGTCAATAACCCACTTCCCCTGCCCCTCAGGTGGGGCAGCACCGAGGCCGTCTGACACCCCCTCCTAGAGATCCCCAGTGGGAACGTATCTCAGCTGCCCACAGTGGTAACCTGCCCAATAGTGCACCTTTCGTTGGCTTCCTTCCCTTCCCTGTCTCAGCCCCCCATCACGTGACTGACACTCTCGGGGGTTGCCTCCCAAATAAACCATCTGGCTCCTCTACCTCGTACAGAAATGGGCCCTGAGCAGAATTTTTATCACTAACAGCAAGCTGTAGACAGTATTCTTTCCATACTTATTAGCATCTATTTGTAGGTCTCTGGGGTTTCAAACAAACAAACATACGCAAAAAATAAACAGCCATGGGGCACCTGGGTGGCTCAGTCGTTAAGCGTCTGCCTTCAGCTCAGGTCATGATCCCAGGGTCCTGGGATC